AAGTGCAATTTGGCAAATTGCCAGAGTCGCAATGTGTTGTCGGCTATTGCAGACAACACACTGCGTCTCTGGTCTGGCAAATTGCCAATTTGGCCGAACACCTCCTAACCACCGTTATTTCAATGTGAAACTCGTCCAACCCCCTTTCCAGCTCTTTTTTTGACCCTTTGTAGTTCTTTTTGTTTGTCTTTTTTTGCGTTTTTTTCGCTGTTATCGCTTTATTCTAGAGTAGTTCTATCAATTCCCGTCAAAAAAGGGTAAACTACATTTTTTGCTAGCGGTGCCTTTAAGTAGGTTTCGTCTCCTTATATGGGAAGAGTACAAAAAAAAACAAGCACGTCTGGCTCCATTTAGGAAGGATATTTGATATTCAGTCGGACAAAAGATTTTCATCACTTCGACTGATTAAACACGACAATTAGAGAAACAAAAACAAGAGCTGCTTGATTGTAGACTTTGGAAAATACTAGAAATCGATACTACGGCATGATGGCACAGTCGTAATCATGTACTCTTCATGGAAAGCGAATAGTTGGTGTTATGCCTGCAACGGTAGCAGCTATCTGTAGCTAAGTAATTTCATTCTTACTCAGAAAGTGTCGTCTGAAAAAAATGATGGTAAGACTGAAATTTGCATCAGATCATCTACATGAGCCGCTGCTGCTTGGAGTTCTGAGCTCCTCGTGGTGCCAGTGGATAAGAAATTAAAGAAAGAAAGAAGGAAGAATCGAATCAAATCATTTAACCCTCTCTAGTCCCACCAAAACTGGTTGGAATTAGTCTTTGAGAAAGTTGATGGTCTAGTGACTAGGACTACGGCTTTTGATGCTTTTGGATGGAATAGCTAAAATGCCCATGAAGTGCCTATGACCCAGTTGCGATTCTCCTATGACTTCAGCTTCCAAATGTGGTATATCCTCTGAACGGAGATGACTGGCTTTATGAAGAAGAGAGGGGTCCCCTGTACCTTCATAAGATTCCATCCTCAGATTCGCAAAAACGCTTGAACCGTCCGTTATTCCTAAAACCTTCCAATGGCACATACTGCAAGGCACATTCTTCTGATTGATCGAAATTTGATAAAGGTAAACAACTGTACGTCAACGAACGAAAAGATGATGTCCCGTAATCCTGTAATCAGATTTGAATTGCTCAAAGAACCCACTGAATCTATGACATTGTTCTGGTCCATATTTAACCCATTGACGACCGCGTGGCCCGTCGGTGGGCCACACCATATCGTGCTCCCGTGGTATTTATACTATTTATCAAGCGTTCTTATAATTTTTTNTGAGGCATTGTGGTCCAGGGATAATTCACTTCCAACTGCAGTTATATGAGAAATTAAAAGCTAATGTAAGGACAGTATAAAAGGCGCGGTCGCCAATGGGTTAAATTACAAAAAAGCCGAGCTAAGATCCGTTAGATCAAGCGAGGAGTTGCAGACGACAAGATCAACTTAATAGCCATTTGAATGATTCATCAGGATGTGGTTGTAATGGATGTTAGTCAAAAGAGACTCTTAGCAAACATATGCACCGAAACCAGTTGGTCAACTGTCAAACCCCTACCAATTACTTATGAAGGAGCTACCAACGAGAAGAGATGCTCTTAGAAAGCAGATGCCCAGGAAGCCGAAAGAAAAGTATTTACGAACAGTCTCCCTCTTCATCAGTTTTTTTTCTGACACCCGGTTACGACTGCTCCGACTTTTCGCAGTAACTCTACATGCAGCTTGTACTACTTCCCTTATAATGCTTACTCTGTTGAAATTTTTAATTTTTGCTGTATGCATCCATTTGAGCGATGATCTAACCTTATTTGTACAGACTATGAAATCACTCTCCGCAGTCAATCCAGAAGGGCATGTTGTGTGGGAGCTAAACAGCTGAGAAAAAAGGATCTACAAGGAAGCTGGACCAATATTAGAACGCCGTCTATGTTTGCAAATCATTGATCAGGAGCAGGACTTAAAAGGCGAAGCAACGTCTGGTTTTCAGCTTCTCATACCCGGTTGCCTCTACAGTTCCGTTCTAACCTAGCAATCTCAACGATGATGTTGGTCCTCTTCACCATTCTATTCTCAGTAATGTACTCTGTAGAAGGAGCGTGCAAGTCTTCTGATATTGTTGTAATGAACCCCAGCGGTCTTCCTGCAAACATAGCAGGACCGCTTGAAAAAGAACTCAAAGTCGAGCTGGTATGTTCAGACGTCAATTATTCTATAAAAAACATTCTGGATGACATTCTATAAAAAAGTTCTCATTTCAGTACGACTTCGAAGGTGCTGCTGCATACTATGTAGCCAACGTAGGCGCACCCGATCAGTACACTGCTGTCTGCCTCGCCGGAAAGAAGGTATGTGGTTCGGAGTTTCTTATAACTCGGAACACATTAAACTTGAGAAGGTTCTCACAAGGTCATGTGCATAGGGTCAACTAGCCTGAGCTCCTTATTTCAGTTTGGAACCACCGTCTACTGCCGCAAACTCACGAGTAAGGGCATTCTGAAGACTTCAGTGGAAGAATTCAGGGCTTTCTATAACAAGTGTACTGGCAAGAAAGTACCTTCCTTTGAAAAGAGTGGATTCCATCTCTAGGAAATCATATTAGTAGCCAGGCTGAATAAATCATTGCAAGAAAGGTCGTTCTGACAATATTGAAGAGACATATCATTTGAAAAAAATTAGTACCGAAGAAACATATAAAAAATGTGGACATACGAAACATAATACTTTCCTCAAACATATTGAGCTGAGATGTCGCCTACTTGCATACCGAGACAATTTTATAGTGCCTGAAGTCTCCTCTGAGTGACTTGGCCTTCTTGTTCTGGATTTCCCAAGACATCGTCTAGGCCCTATGCTAATCCAATTTTTCAACGTTGCAGAGAGAAAATTATTTCCGAGTTAAAGGCACAGTCCACGATAATTTTGTATAATCCAAATTATTACGAGAAAATGGAAGATAAGATGGAAAATAGTGCGAGGGAGGTGAAGGAACTGCGTGAATTGGTGTTTTCAAAGTGAAAAAATGCTTCGAAAAATCGTTGAAAAGGGGGTTCGACGAGAATGAGACCAGAAAAAATAAGAATGGAGCGTTTGAACGAGCTATACAACGTCTCTCATCGCGTACGAGTGGGTCCTCGTGCGAATAGCTGGCTACGGCGAGCAAAAATTCATTCACTTATAAGATCGCAATTGCAAAAAGAATAACCGAGAATAAAAGAATGGGAGAAGAATATCGCCATATCACTAGACGATCAGTCCATTGAGTGCGGGTTCTAGAGCGAATATTGCAATCTCTATCGCCTCGACACTCATCTGATGACATCGATCGAGGGGCGGGAAGGCCGGGTGATCCGGGAACGGGGCTCTCACTATGTCCTAGCTGTTGGGTTTTGGGACTCGACAGCGTCCTTCCTGTTACCCTTGCGAACCACTGGGTATTCCTGGGGGAGAACTCAGAAATCATTTTTATCGTGACTGTCCCCTTGAATCGAAGTCATAATGCTAGTAGCCACAGAGCCCTCTCCGCTTCACAACTACATGGATGCGCTTTTTGTAAAGTTCGACCCAACTCTTACAGTGGGGACCGAAGGACACAATGAAACCTTTAACGATCAAAAGGTACCGCTAGGTACCACTAGTATTTTTGGGCAAAAGCGATTTGTCACAGAGATTCGCAGTTTTTCCATCTTAACGAAAAGACTGATCAGTAAATAAACAAGCAAATCAGTAAATAATACAGAGTACGGTCGGTACCCAAAACTGATGCGAAGTGCTCCCTTGCTATATAAAGGATATCACTCGAAAAAAACAACATTTGGGCTCCAATATGCCGGCAAAATTCAAACACGCTCTAACCTGATCTTGTTAATCCTTTGAATGTCTGCCGACAACCATTCTATCTTCAGACTGAATCCCTTCCGCGCGAAAGTCAAGCGGCGCCACCTATAATACATATCATTTTATTGTGGCTTATTAGAATTGTAAAACAAACTTTCCACTCAAGTTTGTTTTACAGTCTTTAGGATTGCCCTTCAAGAAAGGAAAACAGTCGATAAAGCTCACATAAAAACATTCGTGCTTCGATCGAAAGGTTCACTTATACATAGAGTAACCAGTCGGATCGCCGGCTAACGCCTGGCTCTCCTCCTTCTTGTGTCAAACACCCTATCCCGAGAAATTTTAAATTGAAAAATTTTTCCCTTTTCCAAGGTTTATAGGTTTCAAGTTTTTTCCGCTGTTTAGCTGAGCTTGAGCTTTTACCGTTGTTTAGCTGAGTGAGAGTATGGAACTGAAACAGAGCTTGAAATCCTTTTTTGACACAATTGGAAATCGAAAGCTTACCTCCTTTTTTGTAAAAGTGGTAGTAAGTCTAACTCTCCACTCTTTTTTTTTTTTGAAACAAATGACAGTTTCCTGTACACGAAATTTGACACAGGACTATCAGGGTAGTGCAAATGGTATACAGTTAAACTCGGTGCTTACGCCTTTGATTGGAAGACTCGAACCTTTGCTCTCCATCTTAAAAATAAAAACCCATCAAAAATCCAACTGTTAGACAGTCAAAGATGATGCTGTGGAGATGTTCGGGGTGACCGTTATCAGATGTTCTTTATCAATGGACCCTTTTCTTTACGGAGATATCATTAGTTGAGAATTCCAGATTATCGGTGATCGGATGAGTTTTGTCGCAAATGATATCGACCAAAGAACCCTTCATTGAACCACAAACCTTGCTAGGTAGCGGTGTAATCTAATAGTAAGAAATGAACAAAGTTCTAATCTGCTTATCGTATTGCGCTAATGGATCCCTATCACTGCACTTCCCACTCACTTTTGTCACCTTGCTCTACCATCCCGCCTTATCGCATGAACCATACCGAACGGTCAAAGCTACATCGTAGATACCGAAGACGTTAAGATTTTGATCGGTAGAGGGCCTCTATCTTCTCTTATCAGTTATGATCACTTCTTTTCACCGAGTACCTACAATCCCGTCATATCCTACTTCACTTACTAAAATGCTGAAGATCCACAGTTAGTATGAAAAGTGAGGTTCTACCAAATTTCAACGCTCTAGATCCCCGTTGTCATGACTTTCGTACGACCTCTTTGCGTACCGTCTTCTATTGCGGCCTTTGCACTACATCTCACGCGCAAGGTCTCTCCAACGCCTATTGGACGGTCGTCAGAGTGCCGCAATGGGTCCTACCGCGCAACTACGTTGCAGCCTTCACCTGCGTATCAGCGGACAGGAAAAGTTGGCCTAAAAAAGAAAAGCAGTCTTCGTCAGTCTCGACTTATGCACGCGCAGGATTCGGCTGGAGCCCTGCATGGTTCCTTACCATCGTCTTCGACTTTCCCACGTCAACCCCAAGTTATTCGTCCGCATTCCCGACGTCAGCTATTACTACTAACTTCTCATCGGAATTGGATGATAAGTGGATGTGCGCAGTTTCGAGCAAGGACCGGCATGCCAAGGAGGATTATTCCACGCGAGCACGGGTGAGGTTTACAATTTTGATGGTGACGGTACCCCGTCACCATCAAAATTATAAACCGCTCTGCGCAGTCCATTCCCCTGACAGCCCCTGGTGCGCAGCCCGTGGAAGGTGGAATCCCGGTCGTCCGCTGCGAGTGGTGACCGGACGTGCCGAACGCCCCCCGGCTAGCGCCACTGCGCATGAGCAGGAGGGTTAACGCGCATTGTCGACCCCTAGTTAGGTGAGGTACCTTCCCGTAGGGTTTTAGCTAAGCTCACTTTTGCTTTGTAATTAGGCATAAAGCCACTTATTTATTTCATGTTTTGTTATGTAGCAATAGGAGTATATCTCCATCATAACTATCTTACTTCTTCATGCGCAGTAGAGTACATATTACATCCCACGGATTTAACATCAGTGATGACATGATTGCTTATATTAATTTCTTAATATCTGAGCGCATGACATGAGGATAGCGCAGGGTCATACTTAAGCGCTGGGCCACGAGGGTCGTTGTAACTGGATCGCAGGGACGCAGACAACACCAAGGGGCACCGCACAAGGAAGAGGACCGCTAACACCGTGGCAAGGCGAAGCTAGCAAGCGCAGTCCCCTTGTGCTTTGGTAGATGTCACGGCGGCGCACACCCCATAACTTCTAGTCGTCATCATGGATTGCCCCACGGGATGGGCGTTCGTCGCGACATGGTGCATCGGACCGAGGCTGGTCATGTGGCAACACATGGTCGGCCTTTGAGATCGAACCTTTACTGCGCTAGGAACAAGAAAAAGGAGTGTCAACCAGAAGCGTCCATGGAACTTCGGGTAGCTCCGAGCAGCCCACAGAATGACCACGCAGGAAGCATCGACTAGGACGTACCTTAATTGCCCCTAGAGCCCGTGCGGATGTTATGGTCTTGGTGTGGCACCAGCAGCCATACGACGCACGCTGCCCAACCCGGGATACGTAATGAGAGAGGATTATCCTTCTGGAAGCATGATGGAAGCTCTCCGAATGGACACCGGGGAAGCTACCAAAATTGCATGGAGGGAGATCCAGAGGTCGGGAGAAGCCTCCCTCATATAATCTGGATAGTGGGGTCCTTTACAGCAAAGCTGTCCGGTGAAACCGTTTCGCATCTTCACATCTTCCAGGACGCATCTTCGGTTCGTCGGCGTCTGAGGGTCCTCGATTAGAACTGTCCGCGCAGTTCCAGGTAACCATCTTGGTTGACACTCCATGAGTAAAACGACGTAGTTATTNATATAATCTGGATAGTGGGGTCCTTTACAGCAAAGCTGTCCGGTGAAACCGTTTCGCATCTTCACATCTTCCAGGACGCATCTTCGGTCCGTCGGCGTCTGAGGGTCCTCGATTAGAACTGTCCGCGCAGTTCCAGGTAACCATCTTGGTTGACACTCCATGAGTAAAACGACGTAGTTATTCGTTCTCATACACACGTTGCAATCCGTATAGGTCATCTTCCTTGTATAACATCTTCCCCTTGCGATCGGTATTATTATGTCAAGGCCAACGTCGTTTATACGCATCTAACATTTTGCCGGGGGAGGCTGCCGGCCGAAGCCGTCTCACGGCAATAAGCGCAGTTATACCCCTCATTTCAGATTTGGGTTAAGCAGTAACTACTTCCTGCCTTCAGCGTTCAGTCAATCATGTCAACTATCAGCGCATAAGGAATGGTAAAGTACTAACACGTCCACTGGCACACCTATATCCGCTCAAACTCCGTGCAAATAACGCGCAAGACTTAAATTCCGCGCAGATCTGCAGAAGCACTTACTAATCAATCACACTCCTATTACTTACTAGTTGTCATTGAAGTGATACTAACACTTCGCACCCCTTCTCTCTTACTAACACAAGTCTTTTACATAATTATGAATCCGTCAATAGCACGTGCCGTACTAACAAGCTCAAAACTATCGCCAAGCGCAGCACCAAAACACGCGCAATGCCTCATTCCGTAATTGAGTGACGGACAGAATCTTATTATGCGCAGTTCCTTATTTCGTAGTCAAATCATGCGCAGCATCTTATCACGCGCAATATTAGTACACGCGGAGTCTAAACACGCGCAGCGCTTTCTTTCGGAAACCAATCACGCGCAAAGTCGAAGTACGCGCAGTGACTTATTTCATAGTCGAAACACACGCAGCGTCAAATCACACGCAGAAGCGAATTAAGCGCACAGTCTAATCGCGCGCAGTGCTTTATTTCGCAGTTACGGATAACACGCACAGCCAAGTCACGCGCAGAGTCTAATTTTCATATCCAATCACGCGCAAAGCCATGTTTTATACAACTAAATTACGCGCAGTGTTTCATTTACTCGCGAATTCTTTCAAATTCGAGAGTCTTCCGCGCACTGCCAAATTTTTATGCCTTTTGGAATCAAGTAACTCCTAGTTCGTACTAACACAACCTCGGGACACGCGGAGGGTGACCACGTCATCTCTTTCGCATACCTGGGTTTAAGCTATGTGCCATTGTTTTGTTGACCCGGTGGGAACTCTCTTTCATCAGAAGTGAGGAGAAAATCTCTCCCTCACGCCAAAATGACCCAAGGAGCTTAGGATTCTGCTCCTCGCAAAATCATTAGGCCTCTTCTAAGTCATCTTCTTCGCCAACAAAATGGTCAACGCACTGCCGACATACTACCTCCACGGGTCGATCAGCCTCAGGAACCGACATGTGATCCTCATTGTTGATTCGCTTACTGTGTTTTGTGTTTTGTTGGCTAACAATTGTTGTGATCTAACTTACTTGACCCCCTAGCCGTAATAACCCGTGGTACCTCGCACCCATGTGAGTTGTGGAAAACACATGGCGACATAGGCCCAATCCGGTAGGCGTCGATCAACTTGTTTGTATATTTCCGTAGGTAAGCAATGCCGTCGACTCCCACGAGCGGCTTCGTCGTTTCCCCGCCCCCAGTGTCGTGACTTTCGGTGGCTACTTATGATGAGCGGTGCACTTTCCCACAGCTTCAGGAAGCTGATCGAACTCACAAAAACCCCTGAAGCACTCTTTGCACCTCTTCATTGCGGCACTTTTCTGCTGAACTGTTTTTCTCAATTGCATTCCAATACTTCTGAAGTGCACCACATCGCTTTGGTTCGAAATCTTGTATCTAGTACCCCTTTCACTATGTTGGTACCCGATGACTGTGTATCGCGATGTAGTGAAAGAGTATTTCTTAGAAAAAGTGTTAGGCCGAACCTTTCGGTACTGCTACTGCTTTTTCAGCCAGCCTTGGGGGGTCAGGGCGAAGTCCGAGCGCTTGAGCTATAGATTTATTGTTAGCCTTGTTTCGTGGTCGCTTGCATTCACCTACAACACCACGGGTAAAAACTTTGGAACTTGAGAAGAAGTTTTAATGTTGGAGCTCAAAGCTATCTGAAGAAGTAGCCTTTTGAGAAGAACCACATGTGGTAGTTAATGATCTTGGAATGAAAATCAACGACATCTCAGTTCCAGTTGCGAGCTCAATTGTAAAAGAAAGCGCTTTTGGGTCCCTCATAGCATCGCTTTTTGGCCCGTATGCAAAACGCCCAGGGTAGGGAAGGCCAAGGAAATGTTTGCCGACGGCGCGAGTGTTCAAATGGGGTTTTTGCCTTTGTTCTTTGTCAAAATAGTTGCAATGGAGCTAAGTATTTTCCTATAAACAGGTGAAGAATCGACAGCCTTTGGTAATCATGTGATGTTTGTCTCTGCGACCTTACCTTAGCGAGAGCTCAGAGAAGCGCGACCCCATTGACTCCCCACCCTGGGAGGGGGATGAATCTACCCCTGGATTCGTGCTAGGGCGCCGATGGATTTGCACGCCGCTACCTCGCTATTCACTACATTATTAGACTGAGCGCTTATTCCTCTGATTTCTGCTGCCGAATTCGTCAAGTATTGCTCTGATTTTATTCTACTGCTGCCACCAACTACAAATTTATTTATATTGCTGAATTCATTGCTATTAAGCAGTCGAATCTTCAGATAAGTAGGTTTTCTTTCTAGATTTACACCAGTTATCGTGAGCATGTTGCATCGCGATCCTGGTGTGATTTGAGAAGGAAACTGGAATTATTTCTGTGAGCAACTAATGAGTAGTTTTTCGCCTGATTTGTATATTATTACATACCTACTGCATTTTATTCTTTGTTACCCTGCTATTCCTGTCGTGGGAGTGGGTTGGCGACATGGCGCTTGTTATGCGTGATATTAATTTATTTCATGTTCCACTTTTGTTCATAGCTCTCAATTTTCATCCTAAG